CTAAAACATGCTTTTTAAATAGCATTACTACTGATTTAGAAACTTTTAAATCTCTTCATTGGGTTATTAGCTCCTTGAGGGCAGGATGCTTGCCACTGTCAATTCCTTAGTCCAAGTTGCAGATATTGCAGCCAATCATACTTTGAAATTGACATGAGTTGGTTTTAGGTGCAGTATTAATGGTAGGCAAGGGTGGAGTTGTATACTATGATTCCCTCTTTTTTCCCCCTCTGCCCAGCACACAAGTTTCTATGACCAGTAAAAGACTTTTTGTAAAAAAAAACAAACACAAAAAAACAGCCTCTATATGTAGCTCTTCTAAGAATGGTCTTATTGCATTGAATTAAGATATTGCAAACAAGACCACAAACCAGGGGTTTTGAGGGGTGCTGATGGGTCTCATCTAAAGAATGAGGTGATTTTTGTTCTAGTTATTTGGGAGAGGTATGTCTTTATTAGAAATTGGAACTGAGATGGGATCTGAATAGATTGGATAAGGAATATAGTTTGTCTTGTTGGTGGATTCTATTAAATTGTGCCCGCTCTTTGGGGTTCTAGTGTAGACATCTGAACAGTGCATGAGGTACCAGTCTTTCCTCTATCCTCAGAATATACAAGGTACTTAAATATTTGTTGAATAAGAAAATGCATGTAAATGGGATCAAAGCTGTGTACTTTCTAGGCCAGATTGTTTGTATTTCATTCAATATCTGTCCCAATCCCCCTAATATTTAGCTAAAACTCTTTGAAAGTTTAACCAGGTAAACCAAGGGAAGGGTTTTTGGTTAGGCTGGATGAACAAGGTAAGCTATGATAACTGAGAGAATTCTAATGGCAAGGTGAAACTCAGGAGCGTCCACTCTGGTACTTAGCTTGGCTTTTTAAAAAATTCAGGTTATATAAGGATTCCTTTTAAAGGAACACACACACGCATACACACACACAGTGCCAAAAAAATGTATACACATTAAAAAAAAAAGATCTTATTGGGGAATTGGGGGAGGGGAACAGTGTTGGGGAATTGGGGGAGGGGAATAGCCAAGTTGTTGTCCTTCAATCTTAGTTNTCCACTGTATCTTAAAAGTATGACTTTGAAGCTCACTTTTATTTTCTTGTTATTACTTGAAAAGTATACAGTGGCCAATAATGTATGATGATGAGTGTAATGCTCAAAAAGCTGTCAAGTTATAACTGCATCACTGTATTTTGGAGTGCTCTTAGCAGCAATGCAAAACCATATATGGTCTCTGATAAATACAGAAGTCTGCCATTGTAAAAGCTGTAGACATTATGTAAATAAATAAGTGTGGCAGTGTTTTAATAAAGCTTTATTTATGGACACTTAAAATTGTATAAAACTTTCACATCATAAAACATTATTTTTTTAACCATTTAAAAATGTAAAAACCATTCTTGGCTCATGAGGTATACACAAACAGGCAGAGGACCCTAGTTGGGCTGTAGGCTGTAATAGTTTGCCAATTTCTCCCTTAACCCAAAAGAATAAGTCTACTGGGAGGAAAATCATGCATGATGGAGGAGGTCTGTGAGGGAAATAATTCTGGATGACATTTTGATAACTCTTAAATACTGTTTACACTAGTTTATATCAGGATATCACTTTGAAGAAGAAGAGTGATTGAGAGTTTATGTAGTTTGGTTTTTACTTATTTATTTAAAGAAAGACTTGTACAATTTTGCGTTTTTTTTGTATACTGCCTGAAGAGCTCTTAGACTTCTGAGTTTCTAATCTTAGGTTTTTTTAATGTGAAAAAATATATATGAATATGAACTTTCTTTCCCCATAAGAAAAACGTGTTTATTAAGATTTTCGATTTAGTAAGCAATAAATCTAGAACAACTTTTTAAAAATGAAATGTACTACTCTTATTTTGAAATTTTAATCTTGGCTGATTTTGCATAGGATAGAAAATAATAACAAAGTTTTTATTTTTGTAACTTTATGTTCCCACAAGTCTCAACAAATTATGGAACTGTAGGAAGCTTTGACAGTGTTCAATGAAATTGTAAATAGGTGGAATTTATTCCCAGAGATAATTCAGGAAAGCTAGGGTATATTCTTACTATAGCTATGGTATAAAATTCTGTATTAGGACTGAGTGAAAACCACATAATTCTTTGATCCTTCTTGTGTGTATATGTGTGGTTGTGATTGTTCATCCTTTATTGTTCGTTTTTAAAACTGGGTTTTTGACAGAGGCTGTTATAACTTAATTCTTACAAGTGGGTTAAATTAAATTAAACAAATCAATACCTTAAAAATATAGAATCAATACAAATGTGAATTTATGTTTTTATGAATTTATCTGTATAAATGAGTGATTATTTTATTGACTTTTTTGGTAGTAAACAGCATTTATATGGAATTTTCTGTTTTCAGAACACTTTATGGTGACTTTAAAAATTTTTTTATTTTCTTAAAAGACATTTTAAATTAAGTGTCAAAGACATTGCACAGCAATCAAAAAGCAGAAACAAAGCCCGATACCTTAAATCACCTACTCTTTATAAACTCCAGCCTCTTCCCCTGTGTTTTCAGAGATGAACATTTTCGAGAATCAGTGCCATATTGTTGTCATTCCAGGTTACTGGAAAATTAGTCATGTATTTTTCATTGTGAATTACAGTCAGAAAAGTTTCAGAAATATACATGATACCAAATTTATTTCAAGTTTTTTATTTTCTGAGTTCCATGAAGACTGCCTCTATTTTATGTACACATTAGTTCCGAAGGTTGGTTAATCTCATTTGATAATCTTCAGGTTTTTGTTTTTGTTGTTGTTGATGTTTCTCCAGAGTTACTTTCTAGTCTGACCCTTTTCTTTTCTCATTCAGCTCCTGTGGTTCTTAACCTTTTATTTTTTGGGTTGGGGGGGCGGGTCTTAGAACCCTTTGAAAATCTCATTAAACTTATAGACACTCCCTAGAAAAATTGGACTCATGTACATTGCACAAACTTCTGCCTACAGTTTCAGTAGTTCCATAGGACATCCTCCCCCAGATGATTCCAGATTAGAACTCCACCTCTATATGTGCTTCCTGAACAATTTAATATATTTTTCCAAATACATTGATGATTTACCAATTTATATCTTCAATATGATTCTCTCTCCTGAGAGAATCTAGACCCTGATACCCATTTACTTTCTGGCTATCTGGATGTCCTGTTGCACTACTGCACTTTGTATTTCAAACTTATGAAACTATGTATAGTTCCTGGAACACATTTTTCTGTTCTTCAATCCTTGATTCCTTGGTTATTAGGTCCTGCTGACTGATTCCTTATTCTTTGAGACATTCTTTCTTCCTTAGCCTCTGTGATGCTATCCTCACCTATTTTTCTTTTAACTTTGTGAAGACATCTTTTCCTCCTTCCTAGATTTTTCTTTTACTGTGTCTCCTCTAAAAATGTCTATTTCTCCAGGATTCTGACCAGAACCCTTCGAGGTCTTTCATTCTCTCTACATTTTTGGGCAAAGTTTCCCAAACTCCTGGGTTCAGTTACTTCCCAAATCTTTGTATTTAGCTAAAGTTTATACCTTTATCTCCAAATGCCTGTTAGACATTTCCACTTAGATCAATGGTTTCTAATACTTAGATTACATACCCCTTTAAGAATCTGATTAAAGGTATATCTCTCTTCCCAGAAAAGTACACAGGTACACCAAATTTTATATCCTGTTTTAGGGTGACCCTGGGCCTTTTGGAGCTCCTCCATGTTCTCCTTAGAAATCTGTAGTCGTTTTTTTTTTTTTTAAACTGAGCAATCCTGCCACCTGTTGGCAGCTAATTGGCTGCTCAGCTCAGGCTGGGCATCGAACCGCTGTTGCTCAGAGCTCAAACTCTTGAGCGAGCTCTTAACCAACTGAGCCACTCGGCCGACCCTGTGGTCTNGGTCACCTAAGACCATCGGAAAACAAAAAGATATTTACATGACGATTCATAACAGTAGCAAAATTACAGTTATAGAGTAGCAACGAAAATAATTTCATGGTTGGGGGTCACCACAACATGAACTGTATTAAGGGGTCGTGGCATTAGGAAGGTTGAGAACCGCAGTGTAAACGTTTACACATTTTCCAGTCCATACTAAATTCCAGTACAGTTTCTTCCTATGGTGTGGCATATCCTGAGGAAAAGCAGAACGAAGAGAAAGAAGACCCTTCCTAATATGCCTGGAGTCCATCCTGCTCAGATCAGTCCTGTTAGATAAACCTCCTCCTTTTGGCTCCTTTCTTTCAATCTGCTCATTCTCCTCCTTCCCAGTTTTGTGTTTAGTCATCTAGTATGTATTAGGTTTTTGTTAATTCTTCTAAGAGTAAAAGAAAACAGTTTGGAAACATGGACCACAATTTCTGCTTACTACCTGCTTCTCTTTTGCCTCTTTTCTCCCATTTTAAATAACACTCCCCTTTTACTGGAGTGTTAGCAGCACAGAGGAAAGAGAGGCTGGTAAGGAATAGGGAAGAAGAAAGATAATTTTTGATGTTTGGTTGGGAGAAATACGGTCCATAAACTTAGTTCAGCAACTGCCTGACATATTTGGTAATTTTTTTTTGCACCTCATAGCTTAATATTTTGAACACTCTATCGTGCAAAATTCTTGTTTCCAAGTTTTACTGTTTTATCAGGATATGTTTGTCTTTAATCAGGCAAGTTAGTGGCAACTCTTCTTCCCTTTCCAGTCGGCAGTGAGGTTTTCGTTGTCCGCCCTACTTTCCTAGTGTTCTTTGGTCGTGGATATTGCAAACTTGACTATTCTTCCCTCAAGGTCTTTTCTTCAAGGTTTCCCGACGTTCTGGCGTTATCCAAACCCAAAGCACATTGGGGAGGAATATGTCGGATTCATTTGACGGGCTCGTGAAGCCCTGGGGGCAGCGGATCCCCATGTGGGTGGGGCTGGGCGCGGCAGGGGCGGGGCCGGCGAGGAGCCCAAGGGAAACGGTAGAAGGCAGTTGGGAAAGCCCGCGGGGCAAAGGTTTCACGGTTTTCACGAAGGCTTCGTGTGCTAGGCTGAGGGAATTGGGGTGCCTCCCTCCTGCCTCTCCTTTCTTGATTCTGGAATCTTCAATGGGCTTTTCTCGGTTGCTGGGACCCGGATAGGCAGCGGCTTCGGCTCCAGGGGCGGGTCCCAAGGGTCTCGTCGCTGCTCCGGGGCTGTTGGCCTCCTGGTGTTGGGGGAGGGGCGAGGGAGGTGCTGCTCGCGCCTCCTTTTGCGCATGTGCGGCGGGCTACGAGCGGGTAGCAGCGCGTGCGCGGTGACGTGGACGTCCGGTGCGCGCGCAGGCTCTTCAGCTGGAGCAGACACACGGTGTGCGAACCGAACAGAATAACCCGCCCCCAGCGGGATGTGAAGGACTACGGGTGAGGCCGGCCACGCCCCGCACGGTAACTCTCTGGCCAGGGTGGGGGGGGCGTCGCTTTAGTATTGGCCCGATTGGAGTTTTTCGAGAGTTTGAAGCTCTTGTGTATTTAAACGGCGTGAGAAGCGTTCCGCTGACCGATCTTCGCACGCCCCGGCCAAGGCCCGGCCTTGCGCGGGGCCGCCTTTGGTGCGCGCCTTTGGTCCCCCTAAGCAAGGCTGCGCATGTCACCTCGCGCGCGTCCCCGGTCTCACTTCCGCGTCGCGCAGCGAACTAACTGGGAACATCGACGCCAGAGAGCGGCCACGAGGCGGGTAGGGACGCGCCCATAGCGCGGCCCTGCGCTCGCGTGCGTGGGTTGCCGCACCGCATGGTATGATCCGCGTGACGACTTCCTTCCATCCGGGCTAGGGGCTTTAGGTCGAGAGCCTTGCTTGTGCGCGTTGCGTTTTAGAGCTCAGGTCTCAGGGTTACAAAACTGAGGGAAACGGTGCTGACGTCGCTTTTCTGAGGAGCTGTGTGCAGCGTTTTGACACCTGTACAAATGTCTCCTCTAGCATGCAATTTCCAAGCAAGTTGTTTGAGGCAGGACAGCGAGTTTAATAAAGAAGGAGGGAGAGGAAGAGAGCTGTATATGAGTGGGAACTTGGTAAACAAAGGACCGGTGGTTCCTAAGTGCAGAAATGAGGGCGGGGAAAACAGGTGGGAAGAGCAGGTGTTATTTTCTTTATCCCTCTGTTGGGGCAGTCTTTGGCTAGTTCTCTGTTTATGAGGCTTCCAGTTTCTGTTAAATTGACAAGTAGGTCTCTGCCTTCAGTGGTAGGTGGGTGTGGGACATAAAATAAACCGTTCTGAGCACCAGCAATCAAAGTTGAGGACTCTGTATTCGAAGATTGTGGAGAAGTGAGTGATCATTTCAAATTTGGTTGGGAGTGGAAAGTGGTAGTGTTTTGCTGTGAAGATTTTTGTTTTGCTTTTGGAACCCTGGGGATCCCTTCTGGCTTAAATGCCTCCTTTTGGTGGAAGTAGGGATGGGGCAAAAGAGCTCTGAAAGGAGCAGAACACAGTGAGTAACCAAAGTAACCTTCCAAGGGAAGACCACTCTCCCAGGGTTCCCGTCGCCGGAACAGACATGTGGATCAAGAGAACGGTCGAGCCCACCTGCGCGCCGCCGCCGGTGCGTGTTGTAAAGTTCCACAGGCTTCTGCAGCGGACTACCTGGCAAACGCTGCCTGCTTTGCCTCTACGTTTTGGGCACGACGCCGCGGCTAGGCTGCAGGGAAAGTGTCTGGAGGCGTCGTGACGGCTGATGGGAAGAGGGCTGGCCTGGGAGGGCTGTGTGGCTGGTTCTGTAGTCTCCAAGGTAACAGAATGCGACTGCGTCCCGCCGAGCTATCGGTGGGTTCCGGTCCGGCACGTGATCTATAGGGATTCTTCCCCGGAAGAGCTTCCCTTGCGGCATTTTTTCACGTGGTTTTGGGCCAGCGGGACTCTGCAGTTGAAAAGCGGTGATTGTAGGCCCTTGATAGTCGACGGCGACTGCTTCTCCCAGGGACTAGCGGGAGGGCTTTTCGTTTCTAAGGGTATGGGATCAGCGTTAGTGCTTCTCGCCGTCGTAGCGTTGTTTTCCAGCGGTTGTGTGGGTTCTGCTTAGGTTCACCTAACAGAAAACACATGCTTAGGAGTTGAGGAAATGCAGTGCCCTGGGTACCTTGCCATGCTTATTCCAAGGCAAGGTGGCTGTTTGATTACTGTCCATTTCTGCTGTAAGAGTTCTTCAACAAATTCTTATGCAACTGCTAGGGACCTCAAGTTGTAATTAAGGCACTATTCCTAGGAATAAAAAAATGCATCTTGAAGCCAGCATTAATTAATGGTATCTAGGGATAGAAAAGAAGGGAGCGCCCTACCTCAGGCAAATGCAGTTCTGTGCCTTAAAACCGAAAGCATTAGAGATAATATTTTGAAGCTTACCTTATTAGGGGTATGGTGATAAAATGCCCAGGATATTGCCTAGTCCTAATTAAGTGCTTACTAATAGTCAACAAGTACCATTTAATTATTAAAATTAACCCAATGATGATTAAGAACTGGTAGATGGCTGTTTTACTGACTTTGCCACCATTTGCTATCTTATTTTCTGATTATACCCAAAATCTGTTTTTTTAAGATTTTTCAAATTTCTGGGTTCGTAAATTCAAGTGACCCTATTCACAATTTTTCAGAAGTATAATTTAACTTAACCATAGTCTTATAGTGAATGATCATATTAAGGAACACACTAACGTCTTGTGCCTACAATACAGTAATGTATTTGTTGGATGAAAGGTTATGGTTATTTTTAGCCACTTTGGAAACATTCAGAATGGGTTGACCAGCCTTTGAATATTTTGTTTTTTTTGAATAACAGTATTGATTTGGAATTTTTGTTTTTATTTTTTTGGTGCAATACATGTAATGCATGAAACATTGAATTTGGGTAACTACCTAATAAACTAGTGTATTTTGTAAGTTGTATGAGGGTCACCGCTTTAGTAGTTAAACACTTCCCAAGGAGACATTTAGAATAGAGACTGAAATTGCAACAATTTATGGAACTTGCCACATTACTTATCTGAAAAAGGATTCACTGTGAAAGTGTCTCTGTCTTTCTACCTTGACATTTTCAGAATGTTACTTATATATTTCCCATCTACAACAAAACTTATTTCCTCGCCTCATATTATTAGTTATTTTATGCAGACGAGTGCTTGCTCTTTAAAAGCTGAACTGATATTTTTTTGAACAAGTTACATATATGTACCAAAACTGTGATCTTCCTTAAAGGTTTTAGAGACCTAAATACAGAGTATTTTTAGAATCTTGCTGGAAGGAGTTTTATTTCTTCATGAGTGGCCTAGCTCTTTCTAAAGTACATTTGGTTTTTGCAATTAAAGTTGTCTTAGACTTTAGAGTGGTATTGTGTGCCTGAAACAGCTGAATATGCTGAATTGACTATCCTTTGATTAGGGAAGTGGAATGTGTGCTTAAAAATTGATGTGGAATTCAACTCCTTGTTCCTAAACCAAGTAGCAAGGTATGGCTCAAGATAGAGATTATTTTGATCATAAATTAGGTCTTTGGTTTTGTGCACTTTGATGAACTCATGAAATAACTTGATTGCAGGATTCTTAAAAAAAAGAAATCATGAGTCTGAAAGTTCTAACTTTTTTCTGTCTTCATACACATTTTTAACATATTTAAACTAGGTACCTGTATACAGAGTTCAAATAGGGCAGTCTGACTTTTCTGCACTTAATTTTTTTGTTTAGGCAAAAGGAAAAATTTGAAATGTGTATATATAAAGTTATTGAGTTGTCGGAAAAGTCATGACGTATTTTTTCTGTTTTTCATCGCAAAAATGCGTCATGACTTTTCCGACAACCCAATAGCATAACATTTACTTTAGTCTAACACTGAACTGGATTTGTGTCAGTTGAATTTTTGACATTTCATAGATTAATTTTTGAAAATAATGATTTTTAAAGCATTGGTTAAAAACCTTCTTGGCCCTAGTTTTACCTATAATGATCTGAAAACCAAGCTTTTAATATTGTGGAAGACAATTTTAAGGAAATATTTTTTTTTAAATATTTTATTGGGAAATTGGGGGAGGGGAACAGACAAATTGCTCTCCTTTTGTTCGTCAGTCTAGTTGTGGATGACGTCGCTTCACTGGCCCATGTTGGTATAGTGATCATTGCGCTCTTCCCGGCTGAGGCAGGTTGGTCGCCGACCATCGGATGGTCGCCGACCATCGGATGGTCGCTCACAGCAGCTCACTGCGGCTCACGCTGGCTGCTGGCCACACACGGTAGTTTACGGCAGCCCTACTGCAGCCTACGCCGTCGCCTCACAGCATCCCAGCTCTAGGTGAAGCTGTTGTTCACCATCTTAGCTGTAGAGGGCACAGCGTCGCTGACTCATGGGATCCAAACTGGTGGCCCTGCTGCTCAGAGCTCGTGCTCCCAAGCCAGCTCTTAACCCAGTGAGCCACTCAGAGGGCCCCAGGAAATTCTTAACCCTTTAATGTATTCATAAGTTTGGAATAGCTAAAAAAAAATTTTTTTAGGTAGTTCTTTGCCATTATAGTCATATTTAAATGCAATTAAGAATATTTTGCGTAATTGCTCACAAAAATAGAGATTTGTAACAAAACTTTGAACTTTATGGACTAAATACAGAATTGGGAGTTTACATTGAATTATACACCATTGTGGAGTTTTTCGTTTTTATGAGTTCTCCAAGCTTTACTATTGTTACAGTTACCTTATTCGTGACTTCTAAGTGTGTTTAAATTTTGTTTTATGAATATCTCATAGGTGTTCCTAAGCTTGTTAGTTTTAGGAAACCAATAAACTTAATTGCCGTAAGCCTGAGGCAGCTTTTGAAAAGAATCACCCTAAGTTTGTCTCTTAAAAATAAACTCCAAATTAGAGGAGTGATTCTTTTTTCACCTTTTCTGGGTATTAGTGCTTTAATGTTAGGAAGTGGGTTTCTGTATTTAGCTGTAATAGGAAACAGTAGCTAACCTTGATTTTTTAAAAAAAACCTGTATTTATCATCAGGCTAGAGAATACATTAAGTTTTCTATTATTATTCTCAGGCTAGAGAATATTTCAAGTTTTGGAGGGGTTTTTTTTTTGTTTTTTTTGTTTTGGTGATGTGGCCAGTCCTGTAAGAAGAGATAGAATTCAGATCAGATGCTTTTGCTGCTTGTCAGTAGCTCTGATGAAAATTAAAGTGAGGAGCACCAAAAAGTGGCTGATTTGATTAATCAAAATTACTGTCCCAATTACAAAGAAGTAGTGATGTAGCATCTTTTTTTTTTGTGTAAAGGCTAATTGGAGGTGATAGCTTTTATATCTTGTAGAATATTTAGGTAGTTCAGCACATCAGCTCAGTTGAATTTAACAGTCTGAGATTTTTTACAACTTTTTATAGAGATATGATTCGCATAGCATAAAATTCACCATTGAACAGATACACTTGAGTGGTTTTTATTCCTGAACTTTTTTTTTTTTTTTAGCTGAGCCATCCTGCCACCTGTTGGCACCTGAACATTTTCATCACCCCTTACCCCACCACTGAAGAAAACCCCATACCCATTAGCAGTTGCCCCAATTATCCTTCTCTCCCTCTTCCCTGGCAACCACTCTTTGTTTCTATAGATTGGCCTATCCTGGACATTTAGTATAAATGGAATCATTCAATATATGTGGTGGTTTTGTTTGTTTGTTTGTTTGTTTTTTAGTTGGGGGATTGGGGAGGGGAACAGTGTTGGGGAATCAGGGAAGGAGAACCGACAATTGCTGTCCTTTTGTTCTTCAGTCTAGTTGTGGAGGACATCGCTTCACTGGCCCATGTTGGTATTATCATTGAGCTCTTCCTGGGTGAGGCAGTCGCTCGCTGGCCATTGGATGGCCGCTCACAGCGGCTCACAGCAGCTCATGAAAGCTCACGCTCACTGCCGGCCAGCCCCACTGCAGCCTACGCTGTTGCCGGCGACTCATGGCAGCCCAGTTCCAGGTTGAGCTGTTGTTCACCATCTTAGCTGTAGAGGGCGCAGTGTCACTGGCCCTCATGTGGGATCTGAACTGGGTCCCTGCTGCTCAGAGCTGGTATCCCAAGCCAACTTCTAACCAATGCGCCACTCTGCCGGCCCTATGTGGCGTTTTTTGTTAATAACTTTTAAAAATTAACTTTTAATTGTATTTTGAATGGGTTGTATGTTCAAAAGATACAAAATTTAAAAAATGTTAGTTTGTGGGGCCGGCCGAGTGGCTCAGTTGGTTAAGAGCTCGCGCAAGAATGCAAGCTCTGAGCAACAGCGGTTTGATGCCCAGCCCGAGCTGAGTTGCCTCTGAGCTGCCAACAGGTAGCAGGATGTCTCAGCTAAAGGAAAAAAAAAAAAAAAAGTTAGCTTGTATTTTCCCAGCCACTCAGTTTTCCCTTCATATAGCCAATACTAATGGTTCCTTTTCTGTCTTTACAGTTGATGTCAAGCAAATACATATATACTCTCTTCTTTCTTTGGCTTTTTTTTTCTTTTTTTAAGATTTTTATTGGGGAATTGGGGGAAGGGGAACAGAAAAGTTGCTGTCGTTTTTTGTTCTTCAGTCTAGTTGTGGAGGACGTTGCTTTACTGGCCCAAGTTGGCACCATCATTGTGCTCTTCCCTGGCGAGGCAGATCAGTCGCCGGCTTCTGGACGGCCGCTCACTGCGGCTACTGGCCGCTCATGCTGGCTGCTGGCTACATACGGTAGCCCATGGCAACCCACTGCCACAGGGGCTGCAGCCTACGCCAATGCCGGCGACTCACAGCAGCCCAGCTCCAGGTTGTGCTGTTGTACAGCATCTTAGCTGTAGAGGGCAGTGTCACTGGCCCTCATATGTGGGATCCGAACCGGGGCCCTCTGGCATCCCAAGCCAATTCTTAACCATTGCGCCACTCGGCCGGGCCATCTTTGGCTTTTTTTTTTTTTTAACTTTATAAAGAAAATGTAATCTATAATAACTCTTTTGAATATTTTGCTCTTACTATATCTTGGCAGATAATTTTGTATGAGTCCATAAAGTTGATACATTTTATTTTATAGCTTCAGAATATTCTACTCTGTGGATGTACTATCATTTATTTAACGAGTCTCTATTGATGGATTTTTTTTCTCTAGTCTTTTGCTGTTTTAAATGGAAATGCAGGAAATAATCTATACATATCATTTATCATGGATGTGTATGTGTACATGTGTATATTTAAGATAAAGTCCTGAAAGAACTGCTATTAGGATATATGCATTTGTAGTTTTGATATTTTCATGTTGCCTTCTATTATAGAGAGTATGTCATCTTATACTCTTAGCACCTGGTTAGATGAGAATGCTAGTTGATCTAACACCCTTTCCAGTACCTCTACCAAACTTTGCTTTTTGCCAGTCTGATCAAAGGTCAAAAACAGTATCTCAGGATGGTTTTAATTTACATTTCTCTAATGCTGAGACTATACATTTTCATAGCCATTTGCTCTTCCTATCTTTTGCCCATTTTTCTATTAGACTTTTGGTTTCGTTGGTTTTTACATTAGGGGACCCTTTTTTATATTAGGGAAATGAGTTTTTTATGATATAAGTTGCAAATACCTTTTCCCAGTTGGTCATTTGTTTTTTGTTTTTGCTTGGATGGTTTTAGCTATATTTAAAAAAATTACATGCTTTTGAATTTATCAAAGGTTTTGTGTCGTACTTAATATCAAAAAGTTTTTCTCAGGATTTAAGAATTAAGAAATGACACTGAGGAATGGGGGAGGAATTTAAATGTTTCATCCTTATGGAATTTTGTTCAATGGAAGGTCTGAAATAATGGAGCCAACCTTTTCCTTCACAGTAGGTTCCAGTGATTTGCCATGGTTTCTTTAAATGTATGCACTATCAAGTTAAATTAGCATTTTACTTTTTTATGAACCCATGCCAGTACCATAATAGTTAATTCTGTACAATGGTGACAGGGAAATTTGTTCATTTTTATTCATCCCAGGAGAATTTTATGTGTAACAGAATTCTCTGGCAAATTAATTTATAAAGTGTTGGGATCCTTTTCAAACGCTAATAACCTTCTAGTTTAATCTCCTTAAGTTTGTATACTTTTGTATAACTTTTCTAAAATGAATATATATTTTTGTTTGTTTTTATGTGGTATTATAGTATCTATAGTGAGTGAGTTATTGGAGGGCTAGAATATAAGTAGTTATTAATGAGATTAAAGCGAACTTTAAAAAGATGGTTAAATATTCTAGGATAAATACCCTTACAGTGATTGAGGGAAAGGTATAAGCAACATCTTAGAAGAATTTAGGAATATGTTTCAGGGATAACAATCATTGTTGTGCTTTTGTTAACAAAATAAATATTCACTTAATTAAAGGGTTTTTGTTTTTTTGCTTGTTCTTTAGGCTGGGAAGGCCATTGTGACTATGTGGTGACTACAGTTATCTTACTGAGTTTCCTGCTGGAATCATGGAGGAGAAACAGCAGATTATATTGGCTAATCAAGATGGTGGGACAGTGGCAGGAGCAGCATCTACCTTCTTTGTCATCCTCAAACAGCCAGGAAATGGCAAAACTGATCAAGGAATTTTGGTTACCAATAGGGATGCCTGTGCTTTGGCTAGCAGTGTGTCATCACCAGGAAAATCTAAAGGAAAGATTTGCCTTCCAGCTGATTGTACTGTGGGAGGAATCACTGTCACCTTGGATAACAATAGTATGTGGAATGAGTTCTATCATCGAAGCACAGAGATGATTCTGACCAAGCAGGGAAGACGCATGTTTCCTTACTGTCGTTATTGGATAACAGGTTTAGATTCAAATATGAAGTATATCCTTGTTATGGATATATCTCCTGTGGATAACCATCGTTATAAGTGGAATGGTCGTTGGTGGGAACCTAGTGGAAAGGCTGAGCCCCATGTTTTGGGGAGGGTTTTTATTCATCCAGAATCTCCTTCCACCGGTCATTACTGGATGCATCAACCAGTATCTTTCTATAAACTTAAACTTACTAACAATACACTGGACCAAGAAGGGCATATTATTTTGCACTCTATGCATCGTTATCTGCCACGGCTTCATTTGGTACCTGCAGAAAAGGCTACTGAAGTGATACAATTAAATGGCCCTGGTGTCCACACTTTTACCTTCCCACAGACTGAATTTTTTGCAGTAACAGCGTATCAGAACATTCAGATTACCCAGCTGAAAATAGACTACAATCCATTTGCTAAAGGCTTCCGGGATGATGGACTGAATAGTAAGCCCCAGAGAGATGGAAAGCAAAAAAACAGTTCTGACCAAGAAGGGAATAGTGTTCCCAGTTCTCCGGGTCAGCGGATCCGTCTTACTGAAGGTGAGGGGCCAGAGCTACAGCTGACTGATTCAGATCCTTTATCAAGGGGTCATGAAACATCAGGCAAGGGTTTGGAGAAGGCTTCCCTTAATATAAATCGAGACTTCCTTGGTTTCATGGATATTGACTCATCATTTGGTGAAGTTCCTCAGTTGAAGCAAGAAGTTTCTGAAAGGTACGTAACAGTTTTTCTGTTCTTAAGGGTAAGAAGAAGAGTTTGGATTTAACATATTGGTTGTGTGGACTGCTGATTTTAGACATTGATAAATGTAAGCCACTAAAAAATACACCACAATTGCTTTTACATTCTGTGAAGTGACAGTTCATTTGTCTCAGTTTTCAGTTCATTTGGGTTGATAATAGCCAACTAATGTGTATGAGGTGGTATTGGTGTGGTTTTGATTTGTATTTCCCTAATGATTAGTGATGTTGAGTGAGCACTGAGCATCTTTTCATGTGCTTATTGGTCATTTGTGTATCTTCTTTGGAAAAATGTCTATTCAAGTCCTTGAATATTACATTAAACATTGTTTTTACACACATACAGACAGACCAAAGGAATAAAATAAAGAGCCCAGAAATAGACCCTCAAATATATAGTTAACTGATTTTAACATTAAAAATGTTTTTGTTGCTGCTGAGTTATAGGAGTTCTTCATGTGTTCTGGATATTAATCCAGTATTAAATAAATGATTTGAAAATATTTTTCCTGTTCTATAAGTTGACTTTGATGATACTGTCTTTTGTTGCACAAAACCAAAAGTTTTTAATTTTGATGAAGTACAATTTTTCTGTTTTCTGTTGCTTGTGCTTTTGGTGTCCTACTTAAGGAACCATCACCAAATCCAAGGTTATAAAGAGTTCCCTTTGTGTTTTTCTATTAAGAGTTATATATTAGCTCTTAAATTCAGGCCTTTGATCCATTTGAGCATTTTTAAGTTTGTTATAAGGTATGGGTCCAACTTTTTCATGTGTATATCTAGTTTTCTCAGCACCAGTTGCTGAAAAACTGTCCTTTTCCTATTAAAAGTTCTTGGCACTCTTGTCAAAAATCAGTTAACTATATATTTGAGGGTCTATTTCTGGGCTCTTTATTTTATTCCTTTGGTCTGTCTGTATGTGTGTTCTTAGACTGGTACCACAGTGTTTTGATTACTGTGCTTTTACAGTAAGTTTTGAAATTGGGTCGTGTGAGCCTGCCAACTTTGTTCTCATTATTCAAGATTGTTTTGGTTATCTGATATCTCTTGAAATTCCATATGAATTTAGTATCAGTTTTTCTCCTTCTGCAAAAAAAACACCATTGGGATTTTCATACAGATTACATGGAATCTGTATATTGCTTTGGGTAGTATTGTTATGTAACAGTATTATGTTTTCCAGTTCGTGAACATGGGATATCTTTTCATTTATTTAAGTCTTTAATTTCTTTCAGTAATACTGTATAGTTTTCAACGTAAAAGTCTTTTTACCTCCTTGGCAAAATTTATTTCTGTGTATTTTATTCTTATTGATGCTATTGTAAGTTGAGTGGTTTTCTTAATTTCCTTTTTGAAAAGGAAACTGCTGTTTTATATTGCATATTGCTCAGTGTATAAAATATAACTGATTCTTGTATGATTTTTGTATCCTGCATCTTTGTTGAATTTGTTTATTAACAAGCTTATGCGCACGCGTGTGTGTGTTTCTTTACTTTTCTACATATAAGATCATGTCATTTTATGAATAGAGATAGCTTCACTTTTTTCAATTTGAATGCATATTATTTCTCTTCCTTGCCTAATTGCTCTAGCTATAACTTCCAGCAATATGTTGAATAGAAGTGGTGGAAGTGGGAACACCATGGTTTTAATTTGCATTTTTCTAATGATTAGTAAAGTTGAGCACTTTTTTATATACTTAGACCATTGGGACTATTCAGGTGATCATATATGTGAGAGTTTGTTTTTGTACACTATTCTTTCCCCCTAGATCAGTTTGTCTACCTTAGGCCAAAACCACATTGTTTTAATTAGTATAGCTTGGTAATGGTAACTTCCTGATTTTTAGATTCCACCTATGTGGTCCTACCCTACTCCACTTCTGTGGTAAGGCCTTTTTCTAAAATTAGTCGTTATTGGTTCTTACCTTCTTTGATATATTTATTATTTTGTCTCTTGATTGTATCCAGTTTATTACTCATATATGTTGTTGCAATGTCCATTTCTCCAATGTTGCTCTTGTCAAGCTTTTAATTTTTTGAAAGGAAACTGGATACTGTTACTACTCTGTTTAATTCTTCTGGGTCTGCCTATTGACTTAAATTTAAAGCAAATTTTAAATACAAATAGTACTATTCTGTTTCAACCCTAACCGCTATACTCTATTTCAGTTCTGATACTGACAACCCAGAGTTAGTGTCAGACTCCACAGGTTTAAAGGCAAGGTCCCTGAGACAAGCCCTAGAAGACGAGCCCTACTTCAGATGCCAGCCACAAATGGGGTTCCTAAGCTACCTGGACTTCTGACCAATTGACTACAAATATAGGGGTTCCCATGAATCCCCTCAGGTTCACTAATTCACTAGAATGACTCACAGAACTCAGATGTGTAGAACAGTTATATTATAAAGAATACAGATTAGGAAAAGCCGAATGAAGAGACATATAGGTTAAGGTCAGGAGAGCCTCAAATGTAGAGCTTCCATGTCCTCTCCCCAGGAGACACATAAGGTGTGTCACCCTCCTGGCATATTGATGTATTCACCAACCAGGAAGCTCCATTGAGTTTTGGTGTTCAGGGTTTTAGTTGGGGTTTTGTTAAGTATGTGCGATTGATTAAATCATTGACCTGGTGATTGAACTCATATCTCCAGCCTCCCTCCCCTCCCTGTAGGTCAGGCTATTTATATGTTATAAATTCCCAAAATGTTATTTTCTTTAAATAGTTAATACCATTTAAAGAAATATAAGAAAAACAGTCTTATATTTACTCATGTATTTACTTTTTCCTGGATCTTTTCATTTGTTCCTGGATTCAGTTTCATATTGGTTTATTTCCTATCAGTTTGAAAAACTTTAGTATTTTTTTTTTAACTTTGAAAAAATTGAGATGTAACTCACCGCCATAAAATTAATAATTTTAAAGTGTATAATTCAGTGGTTTTAATATATTCACAGAATTGTACAGTGATGACCACAGTCATCTTTAGGACATTTTCGTCACCCTCCAAAAAACCCGGTTCCCTCTCCTAGTCAATCCCCATTTTCCCTCAGTTACTTTTCAACCCCATCTCAATCTTATGCAAATTCCAGTCTCCTTTTTGTCTCTGGGGATTTGCCTATTCTGGACATTTTGTATAAGTGGAATTATATAATATATGATCTTTGTACCTGGTTTCTTAGTGTGTAATGTTTTCAAGATTCACCAGTGTTGTAGCATGTATCTATCTGTACTTCATTGCTTTTATTGCTGAATAATATTCTATTGTGTCGATAATACCACATTTTATTTGTTCATTCATCAGTTGATAGACATTAAGGTTGTTTCCACTTTTTGGCTATTATAAATGTTGCTATGAACATTTCTGTACAAGTTTTTGTGTGGAAACAGGTGTGTTTTTTTTAAGCTGAGCCATCCTGCCACCTGTTTGTTGGCAGCTCAGTGGCAGCTCAGCTCGGGCTGGGAATCAAACTGCTGTTGCTCAGAGCTCAAACTCTTGAGCGAGTTTTGAATGGTAATAAGCCTATTCTTTCCCCACAAATTGTTTTGGCACCCTTGGCAATTGAAAACAAATTGTGGGCATTTATTACTGGACTCTAAATTCTGTTCATTTGATCTGTATGCTTAGCTGTATGCCAGTATAACACTTTTGATTACTATAGCTTTGTATTAAGTTTTAAAATTGGGAGTGTGAGTTCTCAGAGAACTTTGTTTTTATTTTTCAAGATTTTTGGGGATCTCTATTACTTATTTATTTTTATTAGTTTCAGATGAATTATAGGATATAATTCTATATGAATTATAGGATTAACATGCCATTTTCCACAAAAATCCCAGGTGGGTTTTGATAGGGATTTTGTTGACTCTGCAGATCACTCTCAGGGAGTATTGCTGTCTTATCAATATTAAGTCTTCTAGTATGTAAATGTGGAGTATTTGTCCTTTTATTTAAGTTGTTTTTAATTTCTTTCGACAGTGTTTTGCAGTTTTGTGTGTACAAGTCTTAACACTTCTTTGGTTTAGTGTATTCCTGAGTGTTTTATTCTTGTTGATGCTATTGTAAATGGAATTGGTTATTTTTGTTGTTGTTGTTTTTTTTAAATTAAGCGGTCTTTTTTCTTTTTTTAAAAGATTTTTATTGGGGAATTGGGATGGGAACAGTGCTGGGGAATTGGGGCAAGGGGAACAGACAAGTTGCTGTCCTTTTG